ACTTCCTGAAAGAAAGATCACAAAATATTCTTGTTCCATTAGTAAAGAGATTAACAGGAAACAGGAAAAATCGCTCCCAGCTAATTGCAGAGAAGCTATTAGGTTCAATAGAAACCTAATAATTAAAAAAAAGGAAATTTAGAATCCACTGTTCAAAAATACCCTATTGTATTTCAGAAGAGCATTGTCCAATTAGCAGCTTTACTGCCGAAGTTACAGCATTAATTCACAGAAACAAATTCCTGTTGACAGTTGAGACTAGACTGATCAGGTGTACACAATTGCCGTGTTCCAACCGTGGAGAACTGCGAGGATTCTTTTAAAATGGATGRTCAAGAACGAAATKAAKTCAACTGAGACAAACTTTGAGACCCGTTTATTGGTAACGAAAACGAGAATAAACAATTTCCCACTAAAGGGGGCTGGAAAAGACAGYAAAGGAGAAAGGAAAATGGTAAAACAATGGGGAGAGAGGAGAAAGCTAGCGTTATCACCAGTAGGACTGGGGGGTGCCATCGACATCAACGTGAGAGGGGTGAGTGCGCTGCTGCCRGAGGGAGTGCAACTCGGGGASAGGAGTGTGGCTCCTGCGGCCACGGGCTGCCGGACACGCRGTGAGTGGACACTCGGRCAGGTCCGGGACCCTGGATGGAGTCGGGGCGAGGATCACGGCGGCGGSCGAGGTCRGAGGCAGGCWGGTGGCTCAGGCAGGTGGCTCAGACAGGCTGGGTCAGGCGAAGGACTGGAGCGAAGCGGACACTGCACTCGAGGCTTGGRGGGCAGCCAGCGTCCTGCCAAGYGCCCAGGAGGGAAGGCAGRTACRTGGGGGCGAGCGAGAGCTAGCGAGGGCAGAATCCAGGCATGCTGGAGCTGGGGCAAAAAGCAAGCGAACCCCGAAGCCAACAACAAAAAACCCACCAGCCATGCCCCCAGCAACGAGCAACAGAGAGGGAGTGAGCCACAGGAACAGGAAACCCCAACCACATGCGCAAACACAGAGACCCCGTGGTGCAGTTAATTTTTATACCCCTGGTTCATCCCAAAGTTTGCCTGCTGACCAGGAGACCACTGGTCCAGTGTAACCTTCTTAACGCTGTCCATTCGTGGACGCCTTCCACCATCCGATTGGAGAGATGTCTCTGGGGAGAGCAGTGTCTCCAGATGCCCATGTGAGGTGTTGCCAGGCGAAATCCCCCCAGAGACAAGGCTTCACCCATCTCCTGTTTGCCTCCTGCAGGCTGCATGTGTGCACCCCTTCCCCCACGTGCCTCTGACAATCGGTGTTAAGGCAAACCAAGATGAAAATGGCTCCTCACAASAATTCTACACAATTTTGCAAAAACTAGGGGTTATGAATTTTGATTATGAATGATTTTAATAGATGTTTGATGCACAGTAATGGACTTACGGATCAAGGTCAAATACAGCTTCAGAGTTTTATTTTTAGTGAGCTGAGGTGCAGCATAATATGCACTTTAAAAAGCACTTTTAAAGTAGGAAGGATAAGGGAATAAGCTATCAATGTTAATCTAGCTGCATGGTCGATTTTTGACTTTTTGACTGATAATTTAACTTTCTAATGGAGAAGCTGCCCAAAATTACATTTCATTGCATTGTTCTTTTTTCCCTTTATTTTGAAGCTCTTTAAGGATGCAAGAGGATAGAATGTAGTCAAAATTCTTATTAATTAAACTTTTATCGGTAGTCTATTCTCTGCCTTAGAGTGGTTTRTTTTTTCATTTGAGAAGTATTTGTTAGGGAATGCAATACTGAGAGCACTCAAGTTGTACAAAATCTTTTCAGATCCTCTTAACTTTGCTTGGAACCGGAGGAATTTCTTCATGTATAAGAAGTAACAGAATGGTCTAGGGGAAAATTAGTATTCTCCTTCCTGCTGAGGGAAATCATACAGAATTAACTGAGTTTTCTTTCTCTCCTGAAGAAAAAAGTTAATTATGTTCACAGAATAAGAGCCCAGGGATGACATGCCTCAGATCCTTGCTTCTGGGCCTTTAGCAGACACTGGAAGCTGATCAGTCCCACTGTGAGTAGTTGACAGTCACAGGCCATGKTGTAAGATCCAGAATTTACAAACACTTGCCTGTGCATAGCTCTGTTGGCACAGCTCTGTGTAGGGTGGAAAGCTAATTGCTTCATTAGGCAATTATGAAGAATTTTTGTTTCACCTTAGAAATCTATTTTTTCGTTTTCTTCCCACAATGAAAAAGTTATTATTAATGAATGTGTCTTGGATGATTCAGTACTGAAAATACAGAAACTGAAAAGTATGTATTTTTTTTTCTTTGTATTTCTGATTCTTCTCAGTTACTTCTTGTTTCCTCTGTGTTTTTGTAAGGTTAGCCAACAAAATGGGGGTGGTGATTCTCTAGAAACACAAGTTCCTTACTTAGGGAATAAAATGGAATTGGGATTGCAGTTTTGCAGCTTCTGTTGTGGTGGCGTACACTACTTAGTTTCCTTTACTGGTGTACAAATTGCATATAGACATTTAAGGGAATTTTTAGGGACCTTGAATATTTTTTTTGTTATAACCATAACCCATAACCTTGCTCTATAGACTATAAATAACTTTTGTTTAACAGTCCCATCTTTCAGGAAGTAAGGGTTATGAGGTAAAGTTAATTTTCACTGTTTCCCATTGTTGTTCTTAGAACTGTTCCTTGAAAATATTAATGAAACACAGTCTGTGTTCTCAGTTTTAAAAAAGTAACCGTTTTGTTGCTGTYCTCATGARCTGCTGCCTAGATTTTTTCCTCTGCATTTTCAAAGCAAAATCAGATTTATTTCTTGCCCTGCAATATCATGTTTTTGTTATTAAAGTTATTGGTTTAATTTTAGGTGTGTTCTACCTCATATTTTTCCAGGATAGCTGACATGCTGTAGTTAGCTCTTCAGGAATGTTCCCAAAGGGAAACATATCATTCATCTGTGTGCTAGGACTTACAACGATATATCAAGATGTGGGAAAGGTTTGTTGTTTAATTGTGGTACCAAATCTAGACTGTCCAGTAAATAACTAAGAACTGCTTAAAATCATCGGGACTTTATCTAAAATATTTTCTTAATTCCTTCCTTGAAGGAGACCTGTTTTTTGAATCTGATCAACTTACCTCAAAACCCAACATTGTGCTGTTGGAAAGTATCCATAATAAACAAATACCTATTATATTTTCTGATACTGTTATAAATATTTTTGAAATTTAATGGCCATTATTCATTGCTGTTGCTATTGTTTAAGCATCTTTTGCATTTGGTCATTACGGCATTAGAACKCACTTGAAAGAGAAACAGTTTTGCTTTAAATTTGCAAGTTCTCTTATTGGACAGTGAGATAAAGCAACTATGTTGGGCTAAGAAACATAATGACTAATAAAGCTTGAAAGTGAGATTTATAGGTGTAAAAGCGTGATTGAGGAATATGTCAACATTGTTGTCCACAACACAGCTTTAGRTAATACTTTTGGAAATAAAGATTTWTTTTTTGCAGGGTTGGGCTACATTTCGGAGGTCAGTTTTTATAGAGAAAAAAAAAATCTAGAGAATTTGTTGCACAGTCCAGAACCATTACATCATTTACTCCTTCTAAACAGAATAGTTATGATCATGAGGAAAAATAAAACTTTGTAGAAAAGAATTATTTCAAATATATGCATGGAATGATGCTATAGAAGAAAGGACCAGTTACAAATCAAATCTTTAAGGCAAAGATTGATCTTTAACTAATGAAAAACTAAACTGTTGGTAGTTTTCTAAAGGTAGTTTAAAAAGATAGTTGAAAGGGAAGCATGTAGAAGACTCAAGAAAAATACATCAGATTTAAGGTCCAT